CAGGGCTGTGTTTTCCTTTCCTCCAGGGGCGCGTCCTTTCCGGGCAACGACCCTGTTTCCCTCCCAAGGGTACTTCCAGAGCTAAGACTAGGCCTGCTGAGTGACTTTGGGCAAGTTTGGGACTTTCTGGGCCTACGTGAAAAGGAATGGACGATTCCCCCGCCCCCCAGCCTGTTCTAAGGAACATTTGGAAGACGCGTCTGAAACTCAGCATCGGAAGACCGAGACCAGGGAACGGCGACCGTCCCCTTCGCTGCTACCCATGGCGGGATGGAGCAGTGTGCATGTGCACAAAGATCTCTGGGAAAGGAGACTTTTGGTACAAGTTTTCTGTTAAAAATGGGGGAGCGAAGTAATTACTTCACAAAATGTGGGAAAACTTAATTCTTAGAATAATTTCAGAAAATTCAATTCTTAGCATAACTTAGGAAAATTCCGTTGTAAGACCACCTGGGGAAATAAAAAAACGAGATGATCATGGCTGTCTTACGTAACACCCTGGGTCATTTTACATTTCTTTTCAAATTTTGTTCAATGAACAGTCCTATTTGGCTGGGTTAACCCCAGAGAGCAAAGAATGGCTCGTACATTCCTAAGAGGGCACGGGAAGGGGGTGGTGGAGGACAAGAAGTTGGCTCTGGGTGTCGCGCGGCCAACTGTTGGAAGGCGGCGAAGGGAGGGTGGTCTTTCAGGCGGGTTTGGGATCTGATTACCTTTAACTCGCCTCGGAGGTCTGGCCTTGAGCTAATGGGTGTCTGTCAGCGGAGGGCTCAGGTTTCCTCACTTGCTTGGGTTAGTGGACGCTAAGGGGAGAGCAACAAAGTAGACCTTGGCCAGAGTGGAGGGCTCCCGAAGCGGGTGCGGCTGCAGAGTGGGTGTGCGTCTCCTGGGGCACAGGGCGTGGTTGAAGAGGGTGCCAGACCAGGGAAAGCTCCATCTTTGAGAAGCCACTCCGAGCCGCGTAGGTTTTCCGCCATCCTTCCAAGCAGCTGGGGCTGGGATCGGTTCTGTGACCTATCTTAAGAAACTCATTTTTCACATGTAAAATCGAGATGTTCAAAGCCAAGGCCAACACGCCCCTTGTTTGGAACAGCATTTTTGCTCCGTCCAGAGGCCTTGGGGACGGGAAAGGAGAGACTGCACAGTGAGGGGTGTGAAGTACCTCCAGCACTTCACAGTTTGTACAAAATGTTGACTGACGCTAGCCTAATTCTGCAGATGGAGTCCGGAAATGGAGGTTTTAGAAAACAAAGTAGGTCACTTGTCCGAAGACCTTGGAAATGCCTCGTCTGGTTTAATGCTTGCTCAGGATGCTTTCTGCGAGGCCTCCCTCCCTCTGCTCTTTCTGCATAGACCCCCATCTCCCGCCAACTCTCTCTCTTGTGTTGTAGCTGGCCCCTTCTCCGACACAGGTAGAGTTGGCTCTGGAAACTTCTTTCAGACCACATTCTTTTCAGGACAGTTTCTCAAAGGGACTCACTTCAAAACACCCAGACACATTTTCACCTAGCTTTTCACCTTCTCTTCGTTACCAGGACTCTTCCTATAAAGTCATATAAAATAAATAACTTCAAGTATAACACTTAATTTCTTTCTTAGTGTTTCATCATCACTAAATTTTATGGGTTCCCAATCTTCAGTACAAGTTCACCTTGGACCCTATCCCTTTAGGGATACTCGCTGAGGAAAGCAGCTTCTCAAAGATTCGACCTGAGAGTCCAGTGACCTGTGGATGAAAGATGGTATCAGGGGGCTCGGGTCTGGCCAGGAAGAGGCCTAGGGGTCTGGCTTTGGGCCTTCGGAAACAACCCGGGAGTTTTCCACCTGCTCGTCGCCCTCTACAGGCGACATCCACCATCGCAAGAGAGAGCCTTGCTCGGCCAGTACCAGTATTTCACACACCCAAGGACCTCTAGATCCCCCATCCATTCCCGCAAGGGACGGAGTGAGGGGACCACTCAGGAACTCCACCCTTGGAAATCGGTGCCAGGGGAAGTGGGAAATGTTTAACTCGGTGTGTAACTGAAAGCTAACATCTTTCCCATTAAAACCAACCGCTTCCTCTTTTTATGCCCCTCTTCTTTTAATTTCTTTTTTTTTTTTTAAGTGGGATTAAAAAGCAAGGAACAGTAGCACTGTTTTTAGATCTCTGTCTAGAGAGATTTCAGAGCCTTTTGTCTCAAGTGCCAGCGTTTGATAACATCAAACGTGGGTTTCAAGATTGACACCCCCCCCCAAAGTGCTTGCGTTTATTTCTCTACGATATTTGTATCTCCTCTTCTGCTCTAACCCTTAGCAGTTTAAACAGCTTCAACTTGGAAGATCTTTTCCAGGGTTACAAAGAGGGCCTACGTTCCTGGCATCTGCCAAGACTTTCAATAACTTGGTCGGTTGGGGTTTGGGCATAAAGCCTCGTACTCTCCAAATTCACGGGAAAGAGACCGCATCGAAACTGTTATTTGAGTGACTGTGGCTGGAAACAAAGTGACCCGCGGATCTCTCTACACCGCGCCGCCTAATGCATCGCTGGAAAAAGCCTTGCAGATCTCAAGCTGCAGCTTGAGCCCGAGCGTCACGCTGCGTGCTCAGGCTCGGCCGGTATTGCTGTTATGCGCGGAAATATGAGCGAGTAATTTTATAAGTAACAAAGGATCAGGGATGGAATGAGGCCCCTGTTATCCAATGTCATTTAGAAGCCTTGGATCAGCAGCTTCTTGAGGCTAAAAGTGAATTCAAGAAGCCCTGCCTTTCCCTTTCCCAGGGGTGCCAGCTAAATTTAGAAGTAACCTCTGTGTGTTTGCACAAATCATGTACCATTTGCTGTTTGTGTAAAAACCGATTAGCCAGACACAACTGTGAAACAACTTGTGACTTTTATAGCTGCAACACACAAACCAATTTAGATCCGTTTAGTTTTCCTTGTAAAAGGAGATCAGATTGCTGAATCTCTTCGCTGTGAAGGTTATGATCACTACTGCAGAAGTGGTTGATAGTCAGGTTCTTATTTATCAAGTTAAACTCTCACTCCAGCAGCCTATTTTAGGACTCTGATCCCTAAGGAATGTTTACTCAGGACACAATAATGTTTAACATTTACCAGGAAAACAGATTCCGCATTTGTGAGGAAGGGTCTTTTAAAGAGACCCCCAAGCCCACCCAGTCACTGAGAATAAGGCTTGGATCTGGGGTGGGAAGTGAATGGACATCAAACACTGACTGCATTTTACCAACCCGTCACTCACCGAGCTGAATTGATATCGCTGCTACTGCTGCTACCGTTCCACTGTTAAAGACCAATTTCACATAAGTAATTGTTACAGCTAAATTAATTACAAAATAATTAGAATTAATGCTGTTTGAGCATGTGCTGCTGGTGGTAGATCTGGCATCTAGCATCAAAGCATTTCATTTCTACCTTAAGACCTTTTTTCAAAGTTTGAAATAGCTTAAATGCACATCTAAAATAATCTATGACATTCTCCATTCCTGCCTTACCATCTCGCATTTCACTCTTAACCTGGCCAAAGGTGTTGAAAGAAAGAAAGAATAAAGAAAGAGAGAAGGGAGGAAGAAAGAAAAGAAAAAATGGGAATGCTGTGCACTTATTTCTTAAAAGAGGATTTATTAACGGCGATTCCTTGGCCTTCAGAAGGGCTTCGGGCTGGGAGGAGGGGTTCCCGTCTACAGGAATCCTCCAGAAATTCAATTATGTGGGTTGGTAATTGCCATGGAAAAGAGGAATCTTATTTGAAATATTATGAAAAAATAAAACAACTATGACCTTTCAGGTAGATGGAGAAGATGCCATTCCATTGCAAAGCCTCAAATGCAGCCAAGTAAATTTAAAAATCAATTGGAGTTAACACTTCCACTTAAGGGATGAAAAAGAATTTCAAAAATCCAAGGTTTAAATGCTAAAATATGGGAAGTTTGGAATTTGTTTTCTCTTGAAAGGATAATTAAAATAACCAAGAACTCCAAGGAAGTTTGCATGGTGGACTATACTCATCTGACCTTTCTTTAAAAATGTAAAAGACTGCCTTTGTTTAGAATTAGATTTTTTAAATGACAGCTTGCTTTACAGAAGTGGCTGGTCATTTACAGTTAGTGTGTTGGTATGAATGAGATTGTCTAGATTACCCAGATTTTATGTGAAAACTAAAGGAGAAATATTAATATAATTTAAATTAGGTGAGTTCTTTCCTTTTTCCAATTAAAATGTTCCTAAACTCGAATTATGAATTTGCAAAATTTGAAAAGGTCCTTAGTTGAAATGGGGTAAGACAATACAAATTCCATTTTTATATCTTGTCAATTGCTACAGACACCTAAGTAAAACACTAGGCTGAGCATTTTAAAAAT